TTACCAAAAGTATATTTTACTTTCCTTACACATCTTGTATGTAAACTGTTTCTTCAATAGTCTTAAAATACATGTTACACTGTTAACTCTTAGCAACCTTTACTTTTGGTGAAAACCTTGGTAAGTTTGGGATTTTAGCTGTGTACTAGGTGTGGAGGCTAGGACCTAGACAGAAGTGCAAATAAGGTCTGACTTATTCCAGCATCTAACTCCATGTGTCCCAGGCCTTACCTAGCTGTAAAGCAGGCAAGTTGTACAGCTAAGAGTCATAGTAGCATTTTATAAAGTATTTAGGAGGCCTAATCACCTTTAAATTATACAATATTTCTTGCATAAATTCCCTTTCATAAATTCTTTCCCAGGCCAGGCACAGTGGCTCATGCCTATAATCCCAGCACTTTGGGAGGCTAAGGTGGCCAGATCACCTGAGGTCAGGAGTTCAAGACCAGCTTGGACAACTTGGTGAAACCTCATCTCTACAAAAATACAAACATTAGCTGGGCATGATGGTGGGTGCCTGTAATCCCAGTTACTTGGGAGGCTGGGGCAGGAGAATCGCTTGAACCTGAGAGACAGAGGTTGCAGTGAGCCGAGACTGCACTATTGCACTCCAGCCTGAGTGACAGAGCAAGACTCCATCTCAAAAAAAAAAAAAAAAAAAAAAAAATTCTTTCATGACTTACGCAGACAATCTCTGACACGCCTTGACTTTCTGACTTGTCCTAAACATCCCTCTCTTTAAACAACCAGTTATTTTACTTTAGGACAAGAATTTGCCATACAAGATCCTTTCTTATATAAATTCTCTTTTCTTTAATACCTTTTTGCATAGCTAGGGGGCAAGGCTAATTTTACATGTCCCCAGGCCTTATCTAGAATTTAACCCTCCAAAATAAATTGAACAATTTTTAAGTCAAAGAAGCAGTTTATGGACTAAAGCATTTTGCAAACCTAATATTTGACCTGCATAATTTAGACCAAAGGTTTACATTTTTGAAGATAGTTTTATTTTACCAATAATCTTTAAAACTCTATTTATTTTTATAAATTTCTTTATATCTCTCTTATTCCCTGGTTTCTTTTACCTTGTTTTGTATATAGTCTTTAAATAAGCTTTGAATTAGACAAAAATTAGTTACCCTTTAAAAATGACACAATCTTTAGAATGTTTTCCTATATTATTATTGGAAAATACCCAAATAATGAGATATCTGTTGTTTGATATAACTTTAGATTCTAAATTTTGAGAAGTTATTTACAAGTATTTACCCAATTACTTTTATCTAATTATTTATTTTAATCATTTACCTGGATTATCTATGAAAACTGCAATAGTCATTATTTAAAGTTTTGAAACCACCATTGCAAAATTATAACTGAGACAGTGAAAATGATCTGACCTGACTCAATTTTGCTTCTAATCTACAAGCTGTTCTTGTTTATTAACTTAGTTTATAGTTTAGCTTTGAAACAAAGATGGTAACAGCCCTTTCCCAGAACAAACTTTCTTCATGTCTGTGGACTAGACTACCTAAGGCCACAAGATCAGAAGTTAGGGTATTTTACTAAATAATTCAAGATGTAGCTATTTTCATTAAACCAATATTAATGCTTTATTTTTAAAAACTACACAAGCAAAGATCATTCTGTTTTGGGCTGAGTTACAGTTTTGTAGCCTCTATGCCAAATTTTGACACTTTATAGTATTTGGCAGAGATAAGTATGAAATTGCTTGATCAATAAATGCAAACAAAAATGTATGCTGGAAGCTCTTAAGACATTTCTAATATTACTTTACCAATAATTTTTAAAGCTAGTTTATTTATTAAAGATTTTATCTAAGTCACATAAACTTGAAAAAGCACTTGACTAGTCTTTCCTTTTTTCTGTTAAAGTGTGTAAGTGCTTTTATTTTTTCTTTGAGTGAGTAAATTAGAACTCTTTTATATTTTTCAGTAGTGAAACATGGTGTACACAAGATACAAATACATAGACATATTAGGCATGCCAATAGAAGTACATTTTATAAATTCATAAGCCTTCCTTTTTCCTATTTTTTAACTGGATCTTTGAGCTTTGGGCAGAGCCCACACTGAATCCTGGGTTTTCAAAAGGGGAGAATTATTATGAGGCTAGACCATTTGATGCTTTTACAGCGCACTTAATTTTTTTTTTCCAAACAAAGACATTTCTAAGCATCTAAGTTACACTTTTTCTTAAAAACCCCAGAGTAGGTTCTGTTGTAATAGCCATTAATGAAGAAAACAGAATTCAGTCAACTGTGAAGAAAAAACTTTTGCTCAAAAAAAACAAGATCCTAGGTGAGAAATAAACAAAAACATGAAGACCTTTTAAATACAAACATGCACACACATGCATATACACATACACATTTTGGATGGTAGCTTTTGATTAAGCTGACTCTCAACCATTGAGCGTCTAAAAAAACCTTTCTCCTTCCCAGAGGCCTCCCAGCAGGAGTGGACCCAATACTTCCCGTTTTCAAGTTTACATGGTATCAAAAGGAACAAGACAGACACACAAACAAGTGGAGAAAGATTTCAGACAAACACAAGGGGGAGTGCAGTCAGGCAAAACAGACTCAAAACTAACTAACTCAAAACCTGATCTCAACCAAAATGCAAAGCAGGTGTATGAGCGAGCCCTATTGCTTCCCTTGGTGGTACCAGACAAATGGCTTAACAAGCCCAGATAGGAAAACAATAGGCTCCTGGCATATGATCCAGTTAACTCACCCTTTGAGTGTGTCTGCTCCTGACCTGCGTTTTTCGCCAGTAGTGAAAGGGATGTGCAGATTTGCACATGAAACAGCCCTCTGGAGGGTCCCCGGGGAAGACCTCACCCCACTGCTGCTGGGATTCTCCTGAAGACTGTCTCGTTGCAAGCTGCCAGCCGTGGAATGCAGCACCATCCTTATCTCCTGGCTGGCTCACCAAATTTTGTTTCCAGGCAAAACAGAGGGTCACGCTGCTATTTCTCATGGCCCAATAATGAGATGCAGATGAACTGGGGAGAAGGAGAGTTTTTATTTCTGTAATTGGTTACAGGGAGAAGGCCTGGAAATTATCGCCAGACCAACTCAAAATTACAAAGTTTTTCAGAGCTTATATACCTTCTAAGCTATATGTCTACATGTAAGTGGGGTGCATTCATCTAAAGATATAAGTGATTAACTTATTTTGATCTATAACTAAGGTCTGAACCCAGAAGACCTACTCCTGGAGTCTCAGTAAGCTTACTTCATTCATCTAAATGGGTCTAAGTGCTGGGGTGGTTACCCTTATCTTGTCTCCTGCTAAATCACGGAGGTTTGGGGAGTTCCTTCATATGCCCAGTAAACTTGTTTGTGGAGGCCTGGGGAATTTCTTCAGACCCCCAATAAAACTTGTTTAATCCTAAATGGGTCCTCTTAAGAATTCCTTCGTTATTTTGTCACGCTTTAAGTTTTGCCAGGAAAGGTCTGATCAAAACTCTTGATGGGCTTTTGTTCCATTACTACCTTTGTATAGGCACTGGATTTTTTTTAGCTTTTAATATTTAACTTAACCAGTTGCAGTCTGTAATCCACGAACTGAAACAGGACTTCTCCTTCACTGCAGCTGGCGTATCTTGTTGTGTTTATGAGTCTGACAGGCAAATATATCTGAAGTAGATCTCATATGCTGATCTGTGAGGGAGATAAGCCCCTTGTTTTGCTTGACTGGAAACAAGCAGGTGACAGGGATACTCTATCTAGAAATAAAAAGAAGGGCTGTGAGATGAAAATGTGATGGAGGCCTGTGTTAGTGAAACCTGGCCTGCCACAATAGTACCTGGCACATAGCCGTTGTTCAATGTAGAAACTATTACGGTAGAAACTACTACACACTGGACAACTGTTCTGAGTGTATTACATGTTACTGCATTTAATACTAAATGGAAAACACAATACTATGGTGCTTTAGGGAAATGATTTCCTGTGTCAGACGTATCTATCATCTATCTATCAATCATTTTTGTCTGAGGCTTGCCTTCTCACTGACCTATGGGTGTGTAAACTGGGCCTGTGAGGAGGCTTGTATTTCTTACTTTGTAGGAAGGGGAACAGGATCGAAAGGAGACAGAGACTGAGAAGAAGAATGAATGTCCATGTTAAGGCTATTTGGGCTTCCATGCTGAAAATACCAGAAAGGGCCAACTTGTGAGGGTAATTGAACTCACAGGGCACACTTCCTCTTTCCCCATTTCTCCACTAAGTTTGAGATATTCATCCATCTCATGAGTTGGGAGCTATGCAATAGCCCTCCTGTTCCTACCAATTCCAGCTAACCTGCTTTCGTATTTGTCCTCAGCAGTTTTTAAGAGAAGCAACACATTGTAGGGGTTACTTAGATGGAAAGAGAATTGGTAAGGCAGGCAGAAGGAAAGCCAGTAAGTCCTGCAAGAGCCAAGTAATCACTCCAGGCATTTATTTTAATATCTGGCACCTTTCTCCCTCTTCAAGCACACTGCTTTTTAATACCTCAACACAAGGCAGCTGGAAGGATATAAAAGCTCAAAGAAGAGCAGTAGTGTCCCTGAGGCCACACAGGGCTCAGTGTGAAAAAATAGGAACCTAATGGAGATAGGCTCCATTCTGCCTGATCTCCATTTAGCCTGGACATGTTATGGGTGGCTGATAATAGGTACTGGGAATGGGGTGGTTATGGTAAATGTAGGAACGTAATTGATCCACATCATTTCGGTTTCTAATTTTCTTTCCTTTTAAATGCTGGGAACTGGCTCATTTTCTCAACTACAGTGGATAAGGTGGGAGGGGGTTGTTGGAATTTTAGCCCATGTCTGGGGGTGTGGCTGGCAACTGACAGAATGGCTAGGGGCCCTAATTCCAGAATAAAATACTGCATTCAACACTTATCCTTCCCATTCCCTATTCCACCACTTCCTGTGCCAGATAGCTTCTAGGCAACCAGGAGAAATAAAATCCAGAATGGCTGAAGGAGGGTAAAATGGGCATTTTATTACACATAGTAGCATAAATGGGACAAGAATAAAATCTGGAGCATCTCTGTACCAATTCTCCAATTAATAGCTACTCAACCTAAATATCTTTTTCTCAGTCCTGGGTGAGAAATGGGATCTCATGTAAAGGAAACCTGGGGTCCAGTCCAGTCCTATTGAATGCTATTTAGTCTCAGTAAAGAAATGTCTGAGGGCCAAAGCCATTTGGGAGGTCTCCTTGGGGATAGAGAGGTCATCCTAAATAGGTCCATCAGAAAAGCCAGGAATCTCTCAGGCCCATAAGGCAATAAAGGCCATGAAGGCAAAACCAGCGGCTACACAGCTCCACTTAGCTAGAGGGGCCTCAGGACTAGCTAGCTCCCGTGGAAGAATTTCTAGGAAGGTGACATACAGGAAGGTGCCAGCTGCCACACCCTCTAACACAGCCTGGGCTAAGCCCCGCCCTCCTTCAGAGTCCCTTTCAGTCACAGCTAGCCCCACGGCTAGGCCCAGGGGGGACATGAGAGCTAATAATAGTATGGAGAACACTGCCCATCGTGACCTGGTACCTAACTGCACTAGCCGCATTCCTACACCAAACACCACAAGCCCCTTATGAGCCAGGACAGCAAGGCAGAGCTGCACGGTAGCTGCTACTGTTGGCTGCAGCCCCACAGCTAGCCCTTCAAACACTGAATGAAAGGAGAGTGAGAGCAAGAGGACAAGGGCTCGGAGGGGACTCTTTGAGGGTGAGGGTAAATGTCCATGGCTGTGGAGTTCGAAGATGTGAGCCCCACCCCATTCTTCCTCCTGCACTGTTGATCCTCTAGCAGCCCCAGGACAGCACTGCAATGCCAGCGACTCCAAAAAGAAGATTAAAAAGAAGCCCAGGGAGATGATGAGCTCTCCATAAGGATACTCCATCTAGAAACAAAAAGAAGGACTGTGAGATGAAAAGGAAGGGTAGGCAATGCATTGGATGGACATGGAATTGGGAGATTGAAGAGAATGAGAAAATGTGGTAACAGAACACAAAAAAGGGTAGGGGAATGAAGCCAAGAGTAGACGTGGACGTGTAACAACAAGAATGCCAGAGTGGGCTGGACACAGTGGCTCACACCTGTAATCCTAGCACTTTGGGAGACTGAGGTGGGCGGATCACTTGTGGTCAGGAGATTGAGACCAGCCTGGCCAACATGATGAAACTCCATTTCTACTGAAAATACAAAAACTAGCCAGGCGTGGTGGCACGTGCCTGTAATCCCAGCTACTCAGGAGGCTGAGGCAGGAGAATCACTAGAACTCAGAAGGTGGAGGTTGCAGCGAGCTGAGATTGTGTTACTGCACTCCAGTCTAGGTGACAGAGAGATTTCAGCTCAACAAACAAACGAAAAACAACAACAACAAAAGACTGCCAGAGGGACTAAGGGACACAATCTCAAAAGAGTTAAAAATACGGGAAAATGATGTGAGGTATATCAGAGGATCCAGGGAAAGAATGAAAGAGCTTTCCCTGGGGATCTATAAACTCAAAAGGATTGGGTTTGCTCCTCTTTTCCTCTACAATGTCTGAGCTAGGGAGCAGAAGGGATTCTTGGTACTCCTCATGTATTCCTCTCAAAAGGGTCTGGGTATGAAAGGCCTCTCTGGTTCTCCTCACCCCCCAGATAGGGGATGGTGGGAGGTACTTACATGAGCCGAATCAGCATCACCAGAAGAATTTCTCTCACTTGTTGATCTGTTCTAAGGAGAAAGCAGCAGAAATTGAAGTGGGATGGAGCAGCGCAGCTTCCTGTCCTGTCCCTTCCTCAATTCTGTTTTCCTTAAAGCCTAATCTGACTTGCTTTCACCATCCCACACAAGAGCTGTCATTTTCCCTGTTGTTCCACCCATGTCCTTGGCTCCGTCACTTTCCCACTCTCTTTCCTTTGTCCTGTTTATCCTTTTGGCCTCATAGACCTGAGGCTTGAAATCTCTGCTCTCACCTGCACCACGAACTTCTGAATCCGTGATTCAATTTCCTCCAGAGCTTCAGCAGTCATATGCATGAACCCTGCTCCAAGGAAAACACCAGCAGAAATACAGCCCAGGAGTCTGAGGACTCGCCGGTGATGACCTAATAAAAAGCAGAAGTTAAACCCACTTGGCACTGAGGAGACAGACAAAGGTGAGTAAAGAGCAGCAGGTAGCACTCAATATCCCAAGGTTGGGGGTGGTGAGAGAATCAGAGCAAGGTGTCAGGACAGGGTTGAGGTGAGACTCAGGCTATGGAACAAAGATGGGGTAGGGCTATACCTCTGGCTGCATCAATCTGGAACCATTTGAAGCAGATGGGAGTAAGGCCACAGCCCAGAGTGAGAGCCAACAGGGCAAACAGGCAGCCAAGTTTTATTCCTAGTAGTTGCTCCATCTCTGGGGTGTAGGGTAAGTCCAGAAGTCAGAATGACAAGGGAGCTGTAATCTTTGGAGCAGGAGTGGTATCTTGGGTGGTCAACACTGGAGTGTCCACTCTCGTGAGTTTCAGGAGGCTGTTGGTATCTTCTTTCTGTGTTGCTTCTGCTTGTGCAGCATTGCAGAGCTGACAGATCCTGCTCCAGCTTCTAGCCCTCCTGCTGCATGGAGGCCCCTCCCCTGGTTCACGCCTTCCTGAGCTTGGAAACCAGAAACTCCAGACTCCTGCCAGGCACAGCCCAGTGGCGTCTTCTCCTCCTCTTCAATGGCATGACTAATCCAAGAGCTATGGATAGTCTTAGTTCATGTGCTTGGGGTTGGTCTAATCCAAAATAGGAAAGTCTATGGTAGCTGCTTCCCGGCTATTTTGTACTGGGGACAATCTGGTCCTGTCTCACTCTGGACATTTGATCTAAGCCTTCCATACCCTCTCCACCCCATCCCAAGTCTTACAGGTTGCAATGCTGATACTTGAACCACTCGCTTTCAGAGGAGATTTGGGGCCACCTGGAGGTAAAGAGGTGGGGCTGAGAGGTGGTGCTGGTGCTACTCTGTGGGAACTAGTACATGAGGGAACTACCCTTTCCTGTAACCCCAGAAAAATAGCTGCAGGCATGGAAATGTCTAGTGGTAAGTTGATTTGTCTTTTTTCTTTCTCTTTTGATTGGGACCAGTGTTGAGAGGAATGAGTTGAGATTTCTGGTATGACATTTATACTGTTACAACTTCTGACTGTGCCTGTTTCCTGGTAAGAACTGGAAAAAAAGACATTTAAGTTTTAAGACAACAAGCTGCTGTAGCCCTGAAACAGCAAGGCCTAGGGGAAAACAGAAATTAACTGAATAAACGGGAGGATTCTACCTGGATATAGAGGGGTGGGGGTAGAAGATTCAGTTCTGATGGGAATCACTCTTGATGGAAATGTATGGGGCATTTCCCACACATACTCTAGGGTAGCTGAGGGACCCTGGGAAAGACAGAAGGGAAGGCGGTAGTGAAAGAGGCCAGGCAGCTGCTGATTCCTCTATTCAGGTGGCCCACATAACAACCCTGAGACCTGCTGAGCCAGTTCTCAGAGCTCTGGAGGCAGCTTTCCTAGCTACTCCAGATTATCTTCCTAGGGAAGTCCTGGCCTCTGGTAGAAGCAGTATTCTTGTAGTGTTACTGGATGATTTTTACAGTGTTACTGGTCCCGCTGCTTGTTCTTGTGATCCAATAATGAGATACGGACAGACTGGGAAAGAAGGGAGTTTATTTCTGCAACTGATTACAGGGAGGTCGGAGTAGCACACCAGACTAACTCAAAGTTACAAGTTTTTCTTTAGCTTTTACATACAATTCAAGCTCTGTGACTACCTGTGGGAATGTTTCCTAATTAATCTAAACTAGGGGTCTGCAGATAAAAGTTTTTGTTTTTGTTTTTTTTTTAGAAACAAAGCAATAAATGATTTGATTTAGAAATAAAACCATTCTCATTATTGCAGCATTATCATCAGTCATTGAATGCTAAAGCTGTTTATGCTTCTTTTTCCCTGGGATGTCTGAACCTGGCAACTTTTCTTCCTATTCTTCTATGTTCTTAGCAAACCCACATCAAGGGTGTCTGTTCGCGTTTGAAATTCATCAGCATCAGAAAGAGCAAACATGTTGGCAGTATCTAGAAAACCATCAACATGAGCATGGGGCAGTTCATTTCGCTTTGCAGCTGATCCCACCATAGTGAGTACTTGCAGATATTTCTTAATCTTAAGTTGGTCCTGGTATGGGTTGTATGTGCAGGAATGCTTTATCACTCAACTAGATCTGAGGTAGAGAAAGTAAGGTGGGGCTTTAAGGGGCTTGCTTTTTTTTGTATTCCAGCCTTCATACTCAGGCACCAGGTTCCCCCAATTCATTATACATTTTTCTTGCTTCTGCTTTTATGTTTAACTTGTACATTCATCATTATAGCAAAGGGCTTATAGAAATCTGGTTTTTCTACTTCTGCTTTAACGATCAGCTTACACATTCATCATTACAGCAAAGAGCTTATGGAGATCTGAACTGCCACAATAGGAGAAGGCGAGCTTGAGATTTGTGTGGGAAGCTTGGCACCAAAAATCTGAGGAAGCTCTTCATTACAGGATAGACCAGGATAATTAACTATACCTTTTACTTCTTTTTTTTTTTTTAAAGAGAGGAGGTCTTGCTCTGTCACCTAGGCTGGAGTGCAGTGGTACAATCACAGCTCACTGCAGCCTTAACACCTGGGCTCAAATGATCCTCTTGCCTCAGCTTCCTGAGTGACTGGAAATGCAGGCACATGCCACTGTGCCCAGCTTCTACACTTTTTAAGAATCACAAAATCCACTTCCATTCTTTAAATATTTATTATTTATTATTAAAAATCTCAAACAAACACAGACATATGGGGATACCAGCAGTCCCCTCCTGGATACCAGGTAGTGTCAGCCCTGGCAGGCATGATAGAAGAAAATACTTGTTAGACATCCTTGTCAACTCTCAGAGGGATCTTGAGCAGTGGATGGAGGAAACGCAGATGGAGTAAGCACAGGTAAAAGATCTCCCCAGGAGCTGACACGGGCACAACGATACAAATCCCTATGGAAATGAGACGTTAATGTGGGCTGCAGGTTCTTGCCACATCCCACTAATTTTGGTCACACCCCCTATACCTGCCATGCCGGCGGGCTGTGATCACAGCATGCTGCATATGCCCATCTGGACAGCACAAGTGACAATGCACATGGCGAGGTCGTCTAAGGACAGGCTGAGTGATACGGGGCCAGCGATTAGCCTCCTCTGGAGACCCCCGAGCAAGGATCACCATAGAGAACTTTTCTTCCTTTGGTTTCTTGTTCTAAGATAAGGAACATAGAGACTGTTTAGAAGAAAAAGATATGGGAAAAAAGTTTGTCAAGCCCCTTCTTCCCCATCCCTGCAGTCCTTTTTTAACAATGTGTAAATCATATACATGTAGGCCCTAAAGTCTCTAGGCTATTCTGTGAATTATCCAACGCCTCCTAACTCTGACTCTTTTTCTTCCTGTTTTTTCCAAGATGTTTGCTTCCTGCTGCAATATCCCCAGGTACCTACCCAGCGGAAGGGGATGGGATGGTACGCCTGTGAGAAGCTACAGGCCAGTGGCCTAGAGGTTGTCAACTGGGGACAAGGGAGTTCATGGGGACACTGTGAACACATAAAAAAAATGAGGTAAGACAAAAGAGCCATCAATCACAAAACTTAAAAACTAAGAATAATAGAGTCAAAAGGGGCCAGGGAGAATGGAGGACAGGAACAGTGGGTAGGAAGAGCCAGGAGAATCATTAGGTAGGAACTGGATAGGAACACAAAGTAGTGGAGAGTGGCTTAGCTTTACCATCTTACTTTTCCTGGCCACACCTGAGTTCAGATCTGTGTGGTGGGACAGGTAGAAGTAATACTTACCGGGGCAAAGACAAAACTAGGTCGAGGGTCCAAAGGTGACTTCTCTTTTCCCTGAAATCAAAGGAAATAAAAGAAATAAAGCTGGGCCAGGTGTCTATTTTCATAACTCAATCTCTGCAGTCAGTAAACTGAGGACTCCTTTAACATTCAATTCTAATAACGATTAACTACGTCCTTTGAGTTAAGCTGGCTGCATCTTTAATACTCCAAACAAAGAACCTTCTCTTTGCTGCAGGAGAAAGGCAAGAACTTGGCACAGAGTACGGTGCTCTCCCTTGTCAGCAACCTCCACTCTCAAAAAAATCCCACTCCAGGACAATGAAATTTATGATTATACACTGGCTCATACTCTCCCCCAGTGACAAGGTTCTCGGCTCAGCAATGCCCTAGATTAGGAGTCCACAAACTTTCTTTTAAAAGGCCAGACAGTAGGCAAAATCTATCTCTGTCCCAACTACTCAACTCTGCTGTTTGTAGTGTGAAAGCAGTCACAGACAACAGAGGCACAAATAAGCATGGCTTATATAAAAACAGGTGGCAGGTCGGATTTGATCCACAGGCTCTCATTTGCCAACCACTGCTCTGATTCATAATGACTTTATATGCCCACTTTCCTGAGAGTCACCCTTGTCAATATATGACAGTCTCTTTAGTTTTCAAGAGAATAACAGTAATTAGTGACATATGCGTGGGGGAGTGAGGGAAGAAGCCTTACCTCAAGGACCAGATCCCTGGCTTCCATGAGAAGTCTGTGCCCAGCTTTTGTTCCATTCTCCACCAGTACCTATTCACAAAAGGGAAAAATATGAAGACTTAAATTACATGAAAGTGTAAATGTCAGTAGCTCTGTAAAAGCATCATAGATGGAAAAGGGGTCCTAAAAAGAAATACGCATTATATATCAGGATGGAGACCCTCAAAGAGGGATAAAGAAACCCGTAAAGGAGAAAAATGGTGAAGAATGAAGACAACGAGAGAAGCAAAGGCACGAAATCCATGAAGCTGCTTTAAGACTTAAGGAGAACAAGGAATTTTAACTCACCAGGAAATGACCTGTCTTACGCCATAAGGTTTGAACCACCTCAGTGCGGTCAGCCCTGCTGGGCAGTTCACTTAAGGAAAAGGCTGATACTACTACATCAAACTGCACCTGAGGACCAAGACAAAGAACATGACACACTCAACATCTCTGCATCCCAAGAATATAATAAGATCCTAGCCGATAAATTTCTTTTATCTTCTGACACTCAGTGCTGGGCTGCAAAGCTCAAGCCATAGTTTTCCATCTGCCACATTCCACATTTAGAATATTCTAAACACTGCCACTTGCCTTGGGTGATACAGGTAGAAACTGTCTGAAAAAGACACCTGGAATATAAGGCTCCCCAGATTCTGAACCACCTGTGGAGAAAAGAAGAGGCAACTTTGAGTGTGTAGGAAGTTAGGTATAAACTGAAGAGATAACCAGATAAGAAACATGGCCCCAAGAATAGGGAAAGTGTCTATCAAAAAGGGCAGGGATGAGCCAGATATGGTGGTGTATGCCTGTAATCCCAGCTACCCCAGAGGATGAAGTGGGAGGATGGCTTGAGGCCAGGAGTTTGAGACCAGCCTGGGTAACAGGTTCTAATTAAAAAACAAACAAACAAACAAACAAAAACGGCAGGGAGAATATTAGGCCTCTTGTCCTTTGAATCTTACCCAACCCATCCTCAGTCCAGCAGAAACCTCTAATACCACCCTTTGCTTGACCATAACTTTAAAAGTAAACCAGATTCATCTTAATTTTTACCCTCTTCTCTACTTCCCAGTAAAACACTTTTACTAGTACCCCTTTGCTTTCTTAACTCCCTCAACTTTGGAAATGCTCTTGTACTCACCTTTCAGTAGTTTTTCTGCCAAAGCCAACATGGCAGTTGATTTGTCCACACACATATATTCACGTAGGCTCTGGCCCCAAATACTGTTAGCAGCCCTAAGATGGCAAAATTATTATAAATCACCAATTCCCATGACCAAGAGTCATCTCTACAAGAGACCCATTTACACCCAACCCCACCCCTGGGAAAAGAGAGTGTTATGTTAAAATAGTTGTATAGTTAGTAATAAAATAACTAATAGTGTTATTTTCTTGTTTTATTTACAATTCTTTTAAAAAAAAGGTAGACTCAGCTGGGTGCAGGGGCTCATGCTTGTAATCCCAGCACTTTGGGAGGCGGAGGCAGGAGAATCACTTGAACCCAGGAGTGGAGGCTGCAGTGAGCCGAGATCGTGTCACTGCACTCCAGCCTGGGCGACAGAGCGAGACACCATCTCCAAAAAGAGAAAAATAAAGGTAGACTCAAAATACTATTTGTAGGCAAAAAAACTTTGATTGATAATTCCTTTTCTTTTTAATTTTTCTAAACATGCGCCTTTTTTTCACTTGACATTTCTTTAAGTTCTGGCCCCAATCCATATACCTTCTTCTGCCTTGCCTAATCTGATGGAAGAAACATTATAGATTCCCAACTTGTCTATTCTCCCTCTGGTTTTCCAGTCTCTTAATTTTTGAGTGGTGTAAGTATGGCTTTCTAGAGCTAAAATTGACCAAGACAGGGCTGAAAAAAGTTACTCACCAGGTGACAGAACCAGTACCCGAGCCAAAGTCCATCAAAGTTTGTGGCTGAAATGCTGGATTTCGAGCCCGGATCTGAAGAAATATACAACATCCCACAGCAGAGTAATTAGATACTTATTTAGGACCTTGATAAATATGAATTAGGAGCCTATCACAGAGGATGTGAGATGTGAATGCCTTTTGAGATTCAATGTAAATACCTTATGGGATAAGAATCTCTTAAAATAGTGATTCTAAACCTTTCTTGGGTCACAGAAAGCTTTCACAGGATAAAAAGAACGTCTTTATTTTGTATTTTTTTAAGAGATGAGGTCTCACTCTGTCACCAGGCTGGAGTACAGTGGAGATCACCGCTCACTGCAGCCTCAAACTGGCTCAAACAATCCTCCTGCCTCAGCCTCCCAAACAGCTGGGACTGCAGGCAGGAGCCCACCATGCCCAGCGGAGATCCTCTTTAAAAAAAAATGCATATGTAATGTCCCAAGAATCCCCATCCTAGAAAACTACTTTATGAATAGGGAACTGATGGTCAAAAAGTTCAGGTTGGAAGTTAAGGGACTTTCACCTCATGGAATGCTCTGGAGACTGCTGCAAAGCCACCATCCAGTCTTGCTGCCATATACACCAGGCTCAGTCCCTCAGTGTAGCTGCCATTAAAATCAGAGAGTCGTACATACTAGTAAATAACCTTAATCCCATAGTTATCTTCTAGATTTAGAAAATGACATCTTAGAAAGGGCTCTTCCAGCTCAGGCCTTTCACCAATACAAAAGGGTCCTGGGGAACCTTACAAACACTAAATTTTCAAACTTCAGTGTTCGAAACTTTGAACTTTAACTTTTTCAAATACTAAATTGATCCTTTTAAGGTCAGGTGATGTAAAAAAAAATACTAAATTGATTGTGTAATTGTACTCCCCCAACTCTCTCTGCCTTTTCTTTTTTGTGCACCTCTTCTAGGCCCCCTTACCTCAGCTCTTGCCAATGGTAGGTAGTTTTACGTAGTGCATGTAGCACTGCTCCACGAAGTTTCTCCTCTGTCTGACATAAGTCTGTGGTGAGAACAAGGACTGGAAGTCAGGACCTAGGGAGAACAGGGCTCAGATCCAATATCTGAATATACTGCCCACCCAGTCCTCCCTGACTCCACCTAAGAAAGTCTTAAAGCTCAAGAGAGACAACAAACCTAGAGAAAAGTTTCAGGCAAGAATTAACAGTAACTACTACCACTAACAGATTGTTTCAAATAGCATTTTGCTTCTAAGAATGATTTATTCAGCTTAATCAATCTTGTTCCACAGGTTTGTTTTGCATTAAAGGAAAGTGTGATAAAAATTTAAAGGGTAAGCTGGGCGTGGTGGCTCACACCTGTAAGCCCAGCACTTTGGGAGGCTGAGGCAGGTGGATCACAAGGTCAGGAGTTCAAGAACAGAACAGCCTGACCAACATGGTGAAACCCTCTCTCTACTAAAAATACAAAAATTAGCCAGGCGTGGTGGCGTGCACCTGTAGTCCCAGCTATTTAGGAAGCTGAAGCAGGAGAATCACTTGAAACCAGGAGGCAGAGGTTGTGGTGAGCTGAGATCGTGCCACAGCACTATATAGCCTGGGCTACAGAGCAAGACTCTGTCTCAAAAAAAAAAAAAAAAAAAAAAAAATTAAAGGGCACTATTTTTTGGATTTCTTCACTTCTCCAAAATTTAAGGTTTTGATGATCTCCAACTTTTCTATGGGAGAGGAAAAAACTGAAATCTAGTCTCATGACGCATTCAGACTATGAGAAGTATCTACTGATCCCACCTACTATGACCAGGTACTGTGAAGTGTGCAGGGAAGCAAGAGAATAAATGGTAAATGTAAGGGAGGCTCACCAATCAGAAAACAACTTGATGAATTACTATTTATCCTTTTCTTATCCCAGAAGAGGGTTTCAGTTTGTATACTGGTAGAGTCATCCAGGGATCTTATTTTACCTGGAATAAAGAACTCAGAAGTCCTATCCAGGGTGGACCTGCAAGAAAAAACAAGTATCTAGATTTTAACAGGTAATTGGTGAGCCCCAGGCACGTTGGTTCACGCCTGTGAAATCCCAGCACTTTGGAGAGGCGGGCGGGGGATCCA